CGCTTAACGACTGAGCCACCCAGGCGCCCCCCCTAGACTTTTTTTTTTAAAGATTTTTATTTATTTATTTGTCAGAGAGAGAGAGAGAGCACAAGCAGGGGGAGCTGCAGGCAGAGGGAGAAGCAGGCTCCCTGCTGAGCAAGGAGCCCTCTGCAAGACTCAACCCCAGGACCTGGGATCATGACCTGAGCCAAAGGCAGACGCTTAACCAACTGAAGCACCCAGCCATCCTGATTTTTTAAATTTATTTTTATTTTTTTATTTTAAAGTAATCTCTACACCCAATGTAGATCTGAAACTTTCCCTATGTATTTTTACATGAATACAAAAAGTGTGGATGAATACACACCAAAGGTGACAAGGATTAAATCTGGGGAGTAGAACTGGAATTTGCAGGCCAAGAGCATTTTTAATATAGTTTTATATATAGTTTTGTGCTATTTGAATTTTTTTTTTACATTTATTTGAGAGAGAGAGAGAGAGAGCACATGCACACGGGGGAGAGGGAGGGGCTGAGGGAGGGGGAGAGAGAAACTTCAGCAGACTCCGCCCTGAGTGCCAGTGCAACTGGGGCTAGATCTCAGGACTCTGAGATCATGACCTGAGCTGAAACCAAGAGTCGGATGCTTAAGGGACTGCACCACCCAAGCGTCCCTGAAATGATTTTTAAACTTTTGTTAATAGAAAAGTTTTTTTAAAAATAAGAAAACGATAAGAAGGAGCTTCTAAAAGGCAAATGAATGACTAGCAGTGATAGTGATGGACTGTGGAAATACAGAGAGGTATCATGGTTTGTTGGGATGATCAGAAAAGCTTTCCTGGATAAAAGAGGGCATGAAAGATGTTTCCAAGTTCAAATATTCCAAACAGAAAACAAAGGCAGGAGAATACCAGTTGTAGGACAGCAAGATGATGTGCAGCAGCAGGAAATACCTTTGGTAATGAGGTGCCAATGTGGGTTTCTGAGTAGCCCAGAAAGACCCCAAGAATGCCGTGTTTTAAGATTAAACCTACAAACTTCTTGGGGCACCAGGGTGGCTCAGTTAAGTGTCTGCCTTTGGCTCAGGTCATGAGCCCCGCATTGGGCTCCCTGCTCAGCGGGAAGCCTGCTTCTCCCTCTCCCACTTCCCTTGCTTGCTTGTGTTCCTTCTCTCACTGTCTGTCAAATAAATAAAATCTTAAAAAAAAAACCTCTACAAACTTCCATTTATAAGATAAATTAGTAGTAGATATGTAATGTGCAACATTACATAGCTAATACTGATGTATGATATATAGGAAAGTTGTTAGAGTAAATCTCATCACATGGAGAAAAAATTTTTATTTTACCTATGTGACAAGATGGGTTAGCTGAACCTGTCTATGGTGCTCATCATTTCACAGCACATGTAAATCAAACAATCATGCTATATGCCTTAAACTTATACAGTGGTGTATATTAAATATTTCCTAATGAAACTAGAAATAAAGGAAGATTAAACTATAACAACAAAAAAAGATTAAACTAGCAGGTAGTGGCGCAGTGGGAGATTAGGTGAAGGTTAGCTCCTGGAGTGCGGGTGCCCACTAGGGGGTGCTCATTCAAAGCATAGGCCCACTTGGACTATGTGGTAAAAGGAAAGTACCGCTTTATAGAATGTCAGATAAAGAGGGCGTTTGGACAGTTGGACAAATTAGGAAAATAAAGAGATGCGTAAATGTTAACCCTCCCCTTATTACCTCGCGCTCCCCAACCCATAGAACCCATAGAACACAAAACTAAGCGTGACAGTATGACTGTAGCATGCGCCGTTGGGGCTCTGCTTAGAACAACTACTATTCCCAGGCTCCCTTGCGAGGCCAGGGCCCTCTTCCCAGGTGCAAGTGGGTCTCGCCTCAAGGCCTTTTGGGATCCGTAGTCTTGCAATGTCTTCCGGGAATTGTAGTTCCCATCCCACAATCTGCTGGGCGAGGCGGCGCCGGCGACCAGAGCTGCGCTGGGTGTTCAGGGGCCAAGATGGCGGCGCGCCGGGGACGGAGAGACGGAGTCGCGCCGTCTCCGAGTGGGGGCCCCGGACCCGACCCCGGCGGTGGAGTCCGCGGCAGCAGTTGGGGGAGTCGGAGCCAAACACCGTATGGGACTGTGGGATCTGTGAGTGGCGGGGAGCAGGTGAGAGGCTGGCGGGCGGCCCGCGGCTGGCAGCAAAGCGGCGTGTGCCGGGCGGTGACACGTGGACGCAACAGGAAAGGGAGGAAGCGCTCGGGAGGCGATGCCGGCTGGCTGCGGGAGACGGGTTGGGCCGAACGGACCTGGGCTGTTTACTGGAGGGACGCAGGCAGAGGCGGGGGTCCCCATGGCCATTCCTCTGGATCGCCGGAGGGGCATAGCCGGGTGTTGGAAACATGGCCCGTGGTGGGGAGTCAGAGATTCGGACTTGGAATCCAGGGTTAAGACCTCCCTCTGAGGATGCCGAGTGGGGGTGCCCCTAGCACCGCGCTGCAGTGCCTTTTTGGAGCCACGTGGGGTGGGGGGAGCAATTTTCCCGGGAGAACTTGTCGGCTTCCCCTCCCCCTCTAGGCGGCTCTGGCACCCACGTGGGTTGGGCTTCTGGTTGGGGGGTGGCCCGCGGGTCCACGTGGGGGCGGGGAGGGGATGTCCACGTGGCTCCCGCTCCAGGCTGCCCGGCATCTCGTATCGGCGTTGGAGCCGCACTGCTGGGAACTGGGTGTGTCTCA